CCGCCTTCATCTCCCCCTCTGTGATCCCGGCCCTCTGGGTAAAATCAAAGTGGACTGGGGCCCTGGGGAGAAGTGGGGCCTGGCGGCTGCTCCTCCCTGCCCAGCTGACTGGAGCGGGGGGGCGGGCTGATGCCCCCCCCAGCCACACCGACATGGGGTGAGGTTGAGAATGTGTTGACACCCCTGGAGTCTGCCACCTATAAGCGGCGTGACCTTGCACGCATTGCCTCCCCACTCTGTGACCATTCCTAACCTAAGAGACAGGGCTGGACGCAGAACCTGCTCAAGAGGACAGGTGAGTGGACAGGAGAGGACATGCACAGGGCCTAGCACAGTCCGTCGCCGCTGGCTGCTTCAACGGAGCTATGGTCCACGTTGCTATTTCCAAGTCATCCCCTCCCACCGGCCTCTGCAGCCAGCCAGGGAGAGAGATGACAAAAGCCAGGCAGGGCCAAAGGCCCTGATTCTCTGTTCTTTTATTAAAAATAAAGACAGCCCTTAGACATCCTTCTCCCATTCATTGTTCTGCCAGGGCAAGCAGCAGGCTCGATTTCTCCTCGGACTTGCAAAGTTCCTTCCTTTCTTCCCCCTCCCCATCACATTTCCTTTATCTAAATCCTCAGCTATGAAAGGGCATATCGACAGCCAGGGGCGTTATCTGGTAGAGGGGACCTTTTCCTCGGGTGTCTCTGAGATAAGGCGTCTTATCAGCCCCCATGTCAGGGATGGTGCCAAAGCATTCTAATCACTGAGGCCCGAGACATTTTTCCCTCCCTCTCCCCCTTTTTATTATTAAAGTCACAAAAGACCTTGAGCTTATAAACAGATTTTGCAGATAGGGTTTCAAAATGAGCAGTGCTCCCTGGATGGCCCCTGGCTGGCTGGCCGGGAGAGTAACCAGTCCGTGTGGGCTTCCAGGAGGCTGGGTTCTGTAGATGATTCAGAAGCAAGGGGGTAGGATGGAGTCACAGACCCCAGTCCTGTCCTAGGCAGGCTCACTGTGTGACCTTCTGCAGGTTGCTTGGCTTCTCTGGGCCTCTGTTGTTTTATCTGGCAGTAACCAACTCGCTGATGCAGGTATCCAGTCAGCATCTATTTATTAAACTGTTACTCTTTGCCAGGCACTGGAGAGAGAGAAATAAGACACGGTCCTTGCCCCTCAGAAACTCACAGTCTAATGGAGAGACAGACACAAAAATAGGAGATTATACTTTGGTGTGATGAGAACAAGATGGGGGACACCCAGAGGAGGGGACAACTGAGACAGTGCTGAAACCAACAGGGGTGAGGATGGTCGTGCCGTGGGCAGAGAGCCATGTGTCCCTGAGGATGGGAGGCATGACGGCTGCCTGGTGTGAAGGCCAGCAGGGAACCACCAGAGATGAGAGGCCCAGACCAGATGGTTGGGCTGCTTCTGAGGCCAGAGAGGTGGCAAGGCTCTGACTTGCTTATTAATTGTAGGTAAGGGGGCGATTTAGGAAGTGGGGGTGAGGGCCCACTCCCCCACCCCAGACCTACCCCAGCAGGTCCAAGGGTGGCATTCTCTCCAGCAGGGCCTTTCCCGCTGGTCTTCCAGAGGTAAGGAAAGGCATGACATAGCAGCTGCCCTGGGAAAGCTGAGCCTGAGCTGTGCTGTCTCCTGGAGCTCCTCCCTGGTCCCCTGAGCTGTTGGTGGCCTTGCTGGCTGCTAGAGCTACCTGTGAAAGAGTTCCCAGTGAGGGGCAGCTGGCGGGGCCTGAAGGACTGCCCAGCAAGCAGGTTGCCCTCACCCTTCACAGCTGCAGTCCCAGCCTACCCCTTTGCACTGCAGGCTTTGGGGACTTGTGGCCCACGGAGTTGTAGGCCCTGGCAAAGCTAGGCTGCTGATCCAAGGCACCTGGTGAAAGGGCGGAGGGATGGTTGGACACGGCTAGGACCCAGGAAGAGGAAATGACAGGGCGGTCATGACAATCATGCAGTGACTTTCACTGTCCGCACAGGGGCAGTTACCCACCTGGGGTCACGCCGCAGGCACCAGGAGCGGGCGAGGTTCCAGGCTTCCAGCCCAGGGCTCCTTTGCCCTTCGGGGTCCTTGTCTACCTCCTCTTAGCCTGCTTAGCCCGTCTCTGGGCAGTAGCAGAGCTCAGTGGTGAAGGCCAGGCTCCCCGGCCACTGCCTGCTGGGTGGCCCCCGGCAGGGCTTGCCTTCTTCCAGTCTGAGTCCCAGCTATAAAGTGGGGAGGGTATGAACTGTTTTTTTTTTTTTTTTCAGCTTTCCCCCTGCCCCTCACTCCTGTATCAGATTGGTAAAACTGGCATGGAGCTGGCGGTAGAAAGTCCTGTGACCTTCCAGGTGTCCCCCAGGGGACTGCCTGAGCCTGTAGGGAGCCTGTCCCAAGGTGAACGGTGTATTTATATGTTCCAGTGGGAGTCTGTGTGAACACCCAGCCTGTCCTGTCCTGCCTGGGTGTGGGCACAAAGCCAGTGACCAGGGATGTGGTGGAGGGGGCCCGAGCCAGGCCTGCTCTGCCACCTGCTCACGTCCCAGGTCCCCGAGGAGCTGTGCTGTATTCCGCAGTCAAGGACTTTCATCCCTGCAGTAAGCCCCACTTCACTCCCTTTTTAAGCTGTATAATTTCTGCCTGATTGTAATGGCATATTTTAAAATTACCAGAAATCAAAGCCAGGAAGTGGATACTGCAGCTTTTTATTGCTTCGCTGTGTTAGGCTGGCAACTGGGGGGAGGGCAGAGAATCACCTCCCTCCCCCACATCCATCCCCCACTTTTCTCTGTGTCTGTCTGTCTCTCTC